AAGTAATAATATAAAAGTGAATTTATGTAATAAATGATAAAAAAATTTTATTTAAAAAATTTAAATATTTATAGACATTTTTACTTTTTACATTATTCTTTATAGAAGTAATATAGTATTTAAATCATTGGTTTTTAAAACTAGCAAACTAAGACACAGATAAAATTATGTAAACAACTCATAGTTAATAGTTAAATTACATTTCATTATGAAACATAACATATTATTTATCATCAAATATCATACCCTATGTAATAGTAGAACTTTTAATTATTGTACTTAAGTAAATACTTTACATTTATTCCAGAAATACTACATAATTGTAAAAAAAATGTTTAAAATTAAGAATAAAAGAAAAAACAATTATTAAAAAAAATTAATTTCAATTTCTATAGTAACCCAACAGTACTCTGCTTGAAATTGGTATTGTCGATCTTCTCATAAAACTATTACTTTAATTGAAACAATTTTTTTAGGCTTTGTCAAATGAAGCTAATGAGTTGTTGCCAATATACAATAAGATGTCAACCAGGTTTTATAAAATAACTGATCACACTATTGACTGGAGAAGTACTTGCAATCACACACCGATCAGTCAGCAGCAATTTACACAAACACAATAAGTACAAACTGATCATTTGAGAAGCTATTTAGTCACCATTTATATACAAAAATAATACAATAATGGATTTTTTTTTATTTTAATTTATTTTAGATATTAATTTTTTTAGATTTTAGAAATTGTATCATAATTGGTAAAAAAAAAAGGAATTTCTTAGATATTACTCTTTTACTCTCATGATATTTTTGTAATAGCTCATTTAGCAAATATATTATTGAGAGACTTAATCAAGGTAAATTTTCGTGGATATGGAAATTTGAATTTATTATATAAATGGAACTTTTAACTATATTATCTTTATTAATTATCCAATAAATGGATTCATTCTAATTGCCTGTTTAACATTTTAAGGTGGCAATCACATTAATTTTGTGATTGAATAAAATACTGTTAGTTCTAGACTACTAGACTCATGGTAATTAGAATATAGTTACAAAAAAATAAACTGAGAGTTATTTGACTTGCGTAGATTTAATAATATACTAAATATGTGTTCTAGTTTAAATACAATACATATTTATTTAAATTTTTTATTTAAAAACAATCGAATTAAACTGTTCTTTTATACTTTTACACTAACCTTATTGTAATTTAAAAAAGTTGTCT